GGTTGGGTGCCCATAACGCAGTCAATTCCTGATCAAATGAAGTCTATAATAGTATTTTATTAGTATTACTACATATATATCTGTTATACATATACCTATATCTGTGTTTCTGTTACATATATATCTGTTATACTGTTTATATAAACAATTTTCTGTATTGGTTGCAGTGCTGTGCTTGGTTGGGTACCCATAACGTAGTCAATTCTTGTTCAAATGAACTCTATAATAGTATTTTATTAGTATTACTATATATATATCTGTTATACATATATATCTGTGTATCTGTTATACATATATCTGTTATACTGTTTATATATAAAATCAAATTTATAATATAATTAATATTAATAATATACATTTCTGTTACAGGTTGTACAAAAGTTTATACCAAAAGTTCACACCTCAAGGCACATCAAAGAATCCACACAGGTAAGCAACTAAATTCGGAAATTTTAAATAAATTTGTCAAACACTACCAACTTTCTTCATTGAAAAAACGAAATTAAAAATTTAAATAAATTTTTTTTCTCTAGCGAAATTATGCAAATGTTCAAAAGCGCATAAATTACGACTAATAGGCTTAAGCTGAGACACAGACGTGTCAAGATTTATGTTAATTTACAAAATATCTTGTAAGCACATTTGGCGTATTGAGTGAAACTGTTTTCAAGCACGGTCAACATGTAAATCTACTATAAAAAAAAATTATAATTTAAAAGAAATTAGGAAAATGTGTGGGCAGCTCAGTGAAATACCAGAGATATCTGCAACTTGTAGACGAGCTATGCGAACTAAACCTCGTATTACCATTTATTGTGTTGTAAATTTTGAGCTTTGTTTTTTGTTTAATGCTGTCCATGCTTAAGGCGAAAATTGAGTAATCGTAATCTTTTTTGCATGTTTACTAAATGTTGGCTTTGTAAAATGGCTAAAACAGATTTATTTTGTTGCTGCCACACGTCGCTTTAGACAAATTTTTCACTATTGGCAGTTGCCAACATCCGCAAATATTTTGCTAAAATATGCAGCTCAAGTGCTACTGTTTTGCCGTTTTACTTCAGAACTGTAAGCCGAATCAAGTGCGGAGCCACAAAAATAATTGTTAAATTGTGGCATGAATTTATTACCGTTGTTATTGCATACGTGTACTTGCAATTTTAGTGCTGCACTACTGCACTGCACTACTGTACTGCAATACTGCACTACTGTACTGCAATACTGCACTGCTTTACTGCTATACTGCCGCTGTTATTGCTGTCTTAGCTGCTGTTGATCCTTACATGTTGTACATGAAAAGTCGTTAAACGTAACACATTTGGTTCCACTCCGGCCCGGGTTGAAGCTGTCGAATGATTTATGGTCACTCATCACTGAAACTAATTTTAAAGCGGCACTTTAACTGCTACTTGTGTGCGCACACAGCTCAGCAATTTAACACAGTGACCCAGAAATGTTGCCACAGTTGCAGTTGTTGCAGATTGTAGTTCCAGCAGAAGCGTGCATCGGTACAGCAATCAACAATTTAAGTAACATCAACATCAACATCAACACAGCAATACAATGTATCGCATCGGAGCATCTCTGTTACAGAAATTTTATTTAATCTTGGGTAGTGTAACAACCTGTTCTGCTACTTAACCACGGTAGCTAGTAGAAATGTTCTCATTACAGAAACAAAACGAAATGCTTTTACTAGGAGGCATTGCCTTGCACCTCATCGCTGAAGTGGTGCAGCAGCGCCTTCTCTAGTCCGCAATTCGCTAATCGCAATTCGCCATTCGCTGTTCGAGATTCGTTTTCAATTTCATTTCATGTCGTGATTTGAACTTTGTAGTCTCGCGCATATTCATTAAGTTAAATTTATCTTACGAGAAGACTCGTATTTTCGATTATTTTTCTCTATTTTTTTAGTTTTTTAGTTTTCATTGCATTTTTGTTTCATAAAATATTTATTTTGATTTGATCGCCTTTCTTGATTGCTAAGCATGGAGTTGCATCATCGTAAGAGCCACTTCAGTCGCAGCGATTAGTTACTTTAGTTAGTACGAGTACGTACTCGTATTAGACCAACCGTACAAACCAGCGAATCAAATATCAATTTTTGTGGAGGCACATGCGCACTTTTGTTGCTGTTGCTGTTGCTGTTAGTTTTGCTGCTGCAACATATTGAACGCGATCATGATTACCGCCGTCATGTAGCAATTTCTGTGCTGATTTTACTGTGACTCAGATTACACTTGTGTTTGATTGGAAATTTTGCGGCGGGCCGAGGCGGTGGGAGGCGACCGAGACGACTGTAGCTGTTGGCCGATATAAATTTTTTGATTGCTAACCAAATACAATACTAAACCAAAAATATTGTTGTTGTTCGTTTTCGAATTTACTCAAAAAATTAATCGGATATGCCAGTTTGATTTATAAGTTATACATTAGTTTTGATACTTTGCGCTAAACTCTCTCGTGTTTTTTTCTACACAAATTAATTGCATTTATTGAGATTTCGATTTTGATAAAATTTTATGTGCATCAATGCAAACACGAATATTACAAGTGTAATTAATTGAACAAATCTGCACTAGTTTCCATTTGCGTCCTGGGTATTCGTTACGTTCTTTCAAACACAAAAACTCCAATTCAGCTAAATAATATTTGCTGTGCTCCATAAATTGAATAGATTTTTGTTTAGACATGCCTAGCGGTATGTTGTTTCTTAAATTGATCCCTTGCGATTGTTATCGACATGATTGAGTAATCATTTATAAAGTTCGGAAATCTAATAATATAGCATTGACCATTAGTTTATATATTTAGGTCAGAGCAGTCCATATTAATTTTGTATTAGAGTTTTTGCCATTGAAAGGAAAAAAATAATATTGCAAACAGTGCACAATAATTAAATCAAAATGCTTGAATTTACACCTATAACACCTATAAAACCTACTGTTTAAGTCTTCAAAAATTAGCAGAACCAGCAAAAATTGTCCGCTGATGGAGAAAATACAAGCAAGTAGTCGCCTGATTTCTGTTTAGATAAATCGGTCACGTCGCATTGTACCACTAGAACAACGTAGAACGGTAAATTTTTAATGGTCTATAACACTTGTTTGTCGGAAGTCTTTGAAAAATTGATAAAAAAACCCAACCGTCGAAGGAAGACCATGCTCTATGACGACGATGCGAGCTCCCACACTTTAGTTCAAACAAAATAGTTTTGAGCACTCAAAATGTTGAATTGATGAGTCTCGTTTTAACATCCAGTGACTTCTTTATATTCCCAAATATTAAGAAAAAATGCAAAGCGAATGTTTTTTTTTACACCCTGATCCCTGATTTAGGAAATACCAACATCAGTGTGATAAAACTTTTTTGAAAATTGGTTCAATCGAATGCAAAAATATATTGATCATAATGGAGGGTACTTCAAAAAATAATAAAACCATTTTCATTGATTAGTCACTGTGTTTTCATTGTTAGTCTCAGGTTTTAAAAGGAGTTAATGAAGATAGTCAAAAGAGTAGCTTGGAGTAGATATTTTGCTGGATTTTATTACTAATTCCAAATACATATTCACTGATAAAAATAGTCTTTCTTTTAAAAACACCGTCGAAGCATTTCATATATGTACTTTTTAACGTCATTAATGCCGATAATAAAAAGAATAATATATATATCTATAATATATATATATCCAGACTATATATAAATATATATCTACTGCTATAAAGAGATCTTTTATTAAAAACACCATTTCAACATTGCATACATATATTTTCTAAACATTCCATTATACTACTCGTATATAATCGATTAATTAATATCGAAACTTTCTGTAAATTCTATAGGGCGATGTTCATTTTGCTAAAAAAATGGGAAGGTATTGCTGACACCAATAAGTTTTTTATCAAGTAGATCTTTAGGTATCACAATAGAGGTGACATTCATATTACTTCCAGAGCTTCTTGAAAATAAACTATATTTTCTTTAACTATATGTCATAATGCACATACGAAATAGGCTCCTAGGAATGTGTATTCTTACAGAAGAAGCAATAAAACTCTGTAAACTCTGTAGGTTCTATACTACATTATATTGACGCAACAGGGCTTATAGACCTACACTAAGCCCAGAAAGCGGCACAATAGACCCGACGGTCGCAGTGCTACATCCCCTAACAATAATAATAATAATAATATGTCAAAATATTATCATATTATATATGATATTTTAATTATATTATAATATTTTGGCTGCAATTCTTGTTTCTTCTACTACAG